GCATTACCCAGCGATGGAAAGGACCTGCACTGGGAAACTGCACTAGTCAGTGTTTGATGATTTTAAAATTAACAAGTTATCATGAAATAAATGCAATTTTTAGCTTATATCAAGTAAAAGACTATTCGTACAAGACTACGCTGCCATGACAAACAGCCCCAATTATTACAACTTAAAGAGCAATGATCATTTCTCCATCACAATCCCAATGCAGAACTGTGTGGGCCAGTGAGGAAGCTCTGGTCTTCACACTCACTCTGGAGCCTTAGTTCTTTTCAAGTTTATTGCCTTCGCTCTTCATGAGCCAACAAACTAATCCACCTGTGAAGTTTGGGCTAGTGCTAAGGTGTGGCACCAGTAAGTCTGGCCATTCTTCTCTTGAAAGAACTTTAACATGGTCATACCTGGCTGCAAGAGAGATTGGCATCGGAGTCAGGCTGGGAAGCCATGAATATAGGAGGGAAAAAGGAGCAGACCCACACTCACATCCAGTCCCTTCCCACCTCTTCTTACTCATGTATTTAGGCAGTCTTCCCTTGCTAGGCACACTTGCATTTCCCAAGTGCTCCCTGAGGAGCCGGGAGCACCCGTCACTGTTCTTGGTCCAGGGGACGCAGCTGTGAGGGCAAGAGAACAGGTCCCTACCCCTCTGAGGCAGGTGTGCAGGGCAGCTGATGAGGAGCCTCCCACAGACCTGTTCTTCTCCTTCGGAATCAATATTCATCTTCATGCCTCATTTTAGATTGTCATTTTTAAGACGGGCTTTCTTTCAAAGGGCAGTGGATTTCTCCAAGCATGTGCTTCAAACTACACAACACCTGGACCTGTCACCACTGGGCTCGTGGTTGTGAAAGACAGTACACAAGTTCATCAAGAAGCATGTGCCACATCAGGTGGTAACAGGATCAGCATATCAAAAAATGAAGTCCAGGCAGACGGGGAGGGGAGACCTTCTTAACTTGAGGGGAGTCAAAATCCCTTCCAAGGATATGTCATATGAGCCAGGTGGGAGAGGAGCGAAGGAGCTGTCTCCACTTTTTACAACAAGGGAGCCAGCCTGCTGTGATTCAGCTTCTGATACGTAAACCTTGGTGTGTGCTTCTGAGTCTTTGTTTGAGTCTATTTCTGGCAGTGGAGCTAATGAGTCATGGGTACAAGTGTTTTTAAGGTTTTTGAAAACCACGTTCCTGAAACCTCACTTTTTTATTGAGGTTTCTCATTAGTGTGGTAAACAAAGCAACTGAATAAAACCTAGATCTTAAAAAAAAAAAAAGAAGGGCAGAATTATATATATACTGAGAGAGGGAGATTTGTTGTCCACTGATTCATTCCCCTAAGAGTCAGATCAGGACAAAGCCAAGAGTCAGGAATTCCACCCAAGACTCCCACGTGGGTACCGGGCTCCAAGCACTCATGTGCTGGACTGGAAGCAGAGCAGTTGGGACTTGAATTGTTTTTATGGAATGCTGGCATTGCAGGTGGTAGTTGAACATGCTGCCCATAACGCTGGCCCCCAAGATCTAGACTTTGATGTTTGACACTTAAAACAAAAATTTGTGTTACATGAAAGTCAGCATTACAGAGAGAGCGAGAGAGAGAGCACACGTTAGCTTTCACTTGCTGGTTCATTCCCCAGATGGCCACAACAGCCAGAATTGGTCTGATCCAAAGCTGGGAACCAGAAGCTTCTTTGGGATCTCCTATGTGGGTCTAGGGTCCCAAAGCTTTGGGCCATCCTTCACTACTTTCCCAGGAGTTGGACAGGAAGTGGAGCCGCCTGGACTGAAATCAGTGCCCAGATGGGATGCTGGCACCACAGGCAGAGGCTTAGCCTGATAAGCAATGGTGCTGGCCCTGTTTGAGACTTCTAAGGATCACTTCTAACAAGATGTCAAACTCTCCATGCTTCACCTCCTATCCCCAAACAACAAGTTGGAATGAATTTTTTTTTTTGTCCTAAAATTAGTTCTTGCATCATGGAATGTTAGCATGAGAAGGAACTTTGATGACAGCCTTTCTGTTCCATTCTCCTATTTTATGGTTGGAGACACTAAACCCAGGGAAGCTGCTGACTTGATTAAGTCTCATGATGTGTTCATGGTCAAGCCAAGATAAAGCCTCAGTCTCCCAACTCCTGGTTCTGCCTCAGAAGGGTTCTGTGGTGGCAGAACCAAGGACAGGAGTTATAGAATAAATCTGTGCAGGTGAGGATCTATCTGCCTTTGGTCAGATGCACCTGTTACGGTGGCGGTGAGTACTGATTAGATAATACATGTACAGTGCATGGGATTGTGTTGGGACTCAAGTGACACTTCAATGCTAGCGACGGATAAGACTTTGATGGTAGAGCAAGAGAGGCATCCCACAGGCTGATACAGGACAAGAAACACATGAAGGGCAGTGTGGGGTGGGTGGTCCCAGGGCCTGCAGGCCTAGACAGACCTCAGCCGAGAGGGGATGGTCACTTCATCTCCAGAGTCATGTGAGACCACCGGGAGGGACAGAGATGTTTCAGTCAGGTCAAGGGAACTGCGGGAGACAGTGGCTCAGCTGGAGGCCCCCTCGAGGAGCGCAGGATGGGGTCAGCTTTCATCGTGTGCCAGGCTTCCCCCAGCAAGGCCAGCTGCTGGGCCCAAAGGGCTGAGGCCACCCAGCCACGTGAGCATGCTCTTATTCCCTTACCTCTCCCTTTTCTGGGCTTTCTTCCAGGCGCAGAGGGAAAACAGCAACTAGCAAGGGGGAGGAGGTAAGCAGAGAGAGAGAGAGAGAAAGGCAGTGGTGGTGGGGGAGAGGAAAAGGACCATATCCCCTTTTCCCAGGGCAGGCTGCCAAGATGAGGCTGCCCCAGCCAAGAGAGCAGAGATGATTTAAGGTTAAGCCAGTTTGGAGTTTTAACTATTACCTGGGGCTTGGGCTGCTAAGCTCTGAAGGGCCTGAGTGTGACAGTGAGATGGCAGGCCTCCCAGAGGCATCAACGGGATAGTGGGGGGTCCCACATCACTTGCACCTGCCCCTTCAGCCCTCATGGCCAGGCTTTCAGAAAGATGCCAGAACTGCATTTCCCAGTCCCTGTCACGTGTGATTTTGACTTGACGGTCATTTGTTCATGTTACAGGTGCGTACTGCTTCCTGCCAGCCAACCTGACTCCCTCGGATTACACTCCTGTGTGCACACTCAGTCAGAAGCAGTCTCTGGACTCCCTCCAAAGCTCCAGCTTCCTGATAGCACACGTGCTATTTTATTCTATAGAATTCTTTTGCTCACTAGTGCTCTTCTGTACATAGGCCGGGAACTGCGTACTCAACACAGGCAAGGAATCCCCCTTGGCTCCCAGTGGCTCTGAGCTGTGCAGCTGTGCAGCGTTTTCATCTTCCTTGGGACCTCACTAATGGCCCACATGGTCTGTACATAGTTACTCATTCATTCCTTCACCACTTTACAGACTTGGTACCCTCTATAAGTTGGTCATTCTGTAGGGTCAAGACAGTCCCTTACTCTCAAGGAGACCCACCATCCATTACCCTGTGACTCAGAGGATGTTATATGACCATGATAACAAGTGATGGGGTGATGTCAGCATGAGAGGCAGGTGCAGTGGGAGCACAGGAGGGAGTGATTAGTTCTGTATAGGTCAGATAAGCTCAACAGAGTGGTAGACCTCTGGGACTAGATGGACCAGTAGGTCTTTCCTAGGCAGCTGAAGGGGGGTGGGGCTGAGAAAGGCTGAAGGGGAAGCAAGTCAAACAAAGATAGAGTGAATTGCCCTGGTGCAGCCCTAAGAGGATGGTGGCTGAATGGGAGTGATAGCAATGATGACAGAGCATTCAAGAACGGTTTCTCAATGGCTGGAATTGTGGTACAGCAAGGTAAGTTGCTGCCTGAAGAGCTGATACTCCATCTAAGGGTTTCCTAGAGTCCCAGCTCCACTCTTGCCCATGCAGCTCCCTGCTAATGCACCTGGGAAAGCAGTAGATGGCCAAGTGCCTGGGCCCTGCCACCCATGTGGGAGACCTACATGGAATCCCAGGCTCCTGTCTTCTACCTGGCCGAGCCCTAAACATTGTAATCATTTGGAGGAGTGACCAGCAGTCAGAAGATCTTGCTCTTTCTGTTTCTGTCAGTCGGCATATCAAGTGAATAATTTCTTTTTCTTTTCTTTCTTTTTTTTTTTAAAGGAGCATTTCTCCAAGCACTAAATGAAGGCAAAAGAGGAACAATCAGCTGTCACTACACATATTTTGCAACACTGTCTGTCTGAAAAGTGATGTCAACACCAGAGGACCACAGCTTGGCAGCTGATCATGAGGACTGTGTCTATGTGGCAGAGGAAATTAAATGGGGTTCTGGGGCCCCCCTGGAGAAGTTTTCTCCAGTTGAGAACAGAGAGAGATAAATATAGAAGAAAGAAAAGGTCTGGATCTATGGAGACTTTCACAGGCCACAGAACCCAAGGCCAGCACCTACCTGAAGGCAGCATTTCTGGCAGCATCTGCCAGCCGATGCACTCACCTCCACTGCAGTGTGGTAAGGGCCGTGTCTCCCACTGATGCACTCCCAAGGCCTCTTTGCCTCAATGTGGCACCGCCCTGACCCTCTCCTGCGTGTTACACCTCCAGCTCCCGAGTGAGCAGAAAGTTGCTAGGATCAGGAGGCAGGGCACACACTTGCAATCTGGGCTTGGATGGGTTTAAACTTTTGACTCAGTTGGGTACCAATCTAGACCCAAGGTGCTGTCCTTGGGGTGGGCTCATGTTCACATTCCTTTTCCATGGCACCAAGAATGGATGGCACCTAGGGGAATGAAAGACAGCCAGCCACCTCTGTATACCCAGAATGTCTTAACGTGGATAGAATCAGAAGATCAAGGAAGTGGTTGGAATCTTGCCTTCTTGTTATTATTTGGCAGATAACAGAATGAACCCGTGGATAAGACCAATGCCATGTTTTCATCTAAGCCACAAGGACTATTTATGAAATAAATGACTCAGCATTTGCTTACCAAGGACATCATCATTCATGTTTATACCCTGATTCCAATGATTCTGAAATCTCCTGGCTACAGGGCAGGATCCCAGCTTCCATGGGAAATTGTCCCATTGTTTGCAGATAGTCTCAAAGGGGAGCCACATGGTGGCCACCATTTTCCTTGACCGCAGCGAACCTTCATCCCTTGAGAATCCTCAATGACACTCCTCTGTCGTCTGGCCAGTGCTCCTGTGTGTACCTTTGCCATTCTTGCCCATAGGGTCCCTGTGCACAGACTGCCACAAAATCTTTTACTAAAAAAAAAAAAACAAACAAAAACAAAATCAAAAAAACAGTCCTACTCTGTGTCTCAGTAAGCCCTTCACAAAAATTCCTCCTTCCACTCATGGAACTGAGTGAGATTCAGACTGGGTTCCCAGGCAGAGGGAGGGTTTTAGGGAGCACATCACCCCCTGTCCCTCTACAGGGCCTCTGTACTCCCAGGGACAACTCTTCCTAGACATAGCCCCAGTACCCAAAGAATCATGAGATGGGGAATCAGGTGCACCTTTATCACCTCCTCTAACAGCATCAAAACCTCAGGACTCAACCCAGAAACAACCCTCTACACACTCATGCAAATGTAGATTAGTCAACACACATTTAGTAAAAGAGCCAAAGAGGGCATTTGGTCCAGCAGTTGATGCCACTTGGGATACCCTGATAGGGTGCCTGGGTTCAAGTCCTGATTCTGCTTCCAGTTCCAACTTCCTACTAAAGCTCACCCCCAGGAGACAGCAACTGATGACCCAAGGACTTAGTCCTTGTTCCCCACAAAGGAGATCTGGAGTTCCCAGCAGTGCCTTGCTTCAGACTGACCGAGACCCAGCAGTTATGAGACCCAGGCATCAGGAAAGTGTACCACATGACACATCTGACTCTGTGTCTGTCTGTCTCTTTGCCTTTCAGACAAATGACTTCCTGCTAATACATCCTGAGAGGCAGCAGGTGATGGCTCGATTTCTTGGGTCTCTATCACCCACATAGGAAACTAGATGGAATTTCAGGCTTATGGCTTCAACCTGTTGCAGCCCCAGCTGTTTTGAGCATTTGGGGAGCGAATCCATAGATGGCAAATCTGTCTGTGTGTCTGTCTTGCTCTCTGTCACTCTTTCAAACAAATGAACATTTTTAAAAAGTAGGGATCCACAAACACACACATCCAAGTACTTTGCTAATGGCCATGACTCCTAGAGGGTGAATGGGCACTGGTGACACATCCATTTGCTTTGCTTAATGTTGACAGCATTGTATTTCATCATGCTGTAGAAATTATGCAGTGGTATCCATTTTATACATTATTCAGCATTGCTTTCATTGAAACACCTCGCCTTGCAGACCAACACCTAGCTAACTGAAAGTCCTCGCATTTAGCCTGGTCTTCCTCTACCTTGTGGTAGTTGTGCATGAACTGGTTTTGTGTCTCAACCTGACAGGAAGCTGCTTTGAGTTGGCATCTGCAAGCCCTCCTGTGTGCCCAGAGTGGAAGTCTCGGAAGTCTTCCGTGTTCTGTGATCCCCTGCACGGAAGTAGGCAGTGACTTTGTCACAGATGCTACAAGGCAACCCAGGGTCCACACTTGGTGACATCACACAGAGACCCAAGGAGGAACTGGGAACCCCAGAATCTTTACCAACCCCCACAATTTGCTTAGGGCATTGAGTACACTTTGGAGAAAGCAGCCTCGCAGGCTAGCCCCGTTGGGCTCTTTTCTCATGAGGAAACAGCTTTTGCTGTTCACCCAAGCTCCTGGATGCTGGCAGCTGCAGGGAAGGGCTGGTTCCCTGGCCAGAAGGCTTTGCTAGGAGCCAGCAAAGCAGCCCATATTCAGGGCCAGGCTGCCACACCCGCCCCACCCAACCTCCAGTTAAGAGCTTAAGTCAACAGGCTCAGAAAATCACAGGGGGCCAACTTGGGATAGGAAAAAAAGAAGAAGGGGGAAAAAAATCAACCCAGCAGCTGCTGCCTAATTGGCATTCTAAATAGCTGCAGGCTTCCAAGGGCAGAAATGAATTAAAAGCAAAAGTTCCGCCTTTAGGGTGGAGTGCCTGGCTGCAGGTCTCTCCACCCGAGCCACACCCTAGGTGCAGCTATTTATAAGCCCTAAGAGCCAGATGGGACCTGCCAGAGGGGAAACAAGACTGGGCTCAAGGCAAATGCCCAGCAAGCCTTCTTATCCTCGAGGGGCCCCATGGTGACTCCAAGGCTGGGGGGAGAACAGAAGAGGAAGGAGCACCTCCACTAATGCTTTGCTCCAAGTCCTGTCTTCCCAGGCCACAGACAGCTGTGGCATGGGCTAGCTGCTGTGCCCGGGCAGGGCTGTGCTCCCCAAAGCAGAAGGACCAGCAGGCAGATGTGCTGTGCCCAGCCCCAGAGTGGGCCCCAGGGCTGAGTAGTTAGAACCAGGTGATATGCCCAGTGGTGTGAAGTGTTAGGGGGTAGGGGTGGCCCCAGGGCACTCAGTGGAAATCCTAAACCCTAGGCTGGGTAGGTTCCCCACTCCACCCAGAGATACAAATCAGCTACCTGGGAAAGCCTGTTGGACTGTGAAAAACTTACCCTAACTAAGAAAAGACAGCAGTTATGAGGACACCTCTTGGTCTACATGGCTTCCTTGTAAGCCCAAGGCAGCAGTCAGCCTAAGAAGGGACTGCCACTACCGGTGGCCAATTGTCCTCCATTGCACTGATTCATAAGCCCTCAGTCTCTCCTGTCCTAAACCAGCCTGATGGAAAACATAGGAAGTGCTTGGGGCAGCAACTGCAGCAGCTGTTACTGCAGGACTTTCTGCACAGACTTCTGCACAGACACAAATGCACCTCCTTGTGGGCCCCTGTCTGCACCAATGACATAGGAGCACTCTAAAACATGAAGGGGCTTTGGAGACAGAGCTTGTCTCAGCTTCTTGTACCCTTCCTCTCATGTGCAGGGCAGGACTAGGCTGGCTATGCTAGGGAGGCAGCTGTTCCCACCGGAAACCTGTCTCATCACTGTGTGACCCCTGCACATGCCAGGGCTTAGAATGCTTGTCCTTGTACATGGCAACAGCTTGGAGTAAAAAATTAATACATACCACATCTTCATCAAGACCACACTGACGTTTCTTCCATGGCTGGTCCAGTCATGCTGACCTATAGAAATATAACGGGAAACACAAACATCACTTTTTAAAAATTTTCCAGCAGCCATGAGGATAAATGTAAAACAAAAAAGCTGAAATTCAGATTATGGCTGTGTTGTAGTTCACTTAGTATATGAAAAACTTGTTCAGTTTCAACATGTAGTTAGTAGAAACACTATTAATGAGATATTTCCCATTCTTGCTTTTTGTGCCAGGTCTGCTCTGTATTTTAAACTTGTGGATGCAACTCAGTTTGGACCAGCTACATATTCAGTGCTCAGGTGCAGCCTGTGGCTGGTGCACCCGGTCTAGCCCCAGAGTTTGTGTTGCACCTGCCAATGTCCTGCCAGTGGGTATTTCCAGCTACAGCCTGGGAAGCTTCTTGCTCTCTGCACAGCAGGATGCCATCTGCAGGCTAGGCTGGGAGTCTGGCACAAAGGACAACAGTCTGAAGACAGGTGAGAACCAGGCTTAGCACTGCCTAGCTGGTGTTAGTCTGGGGGTAGGGCAGCACGATGGGCTCTGAAAACCAAACAGAAAAAGCACTTGTTTCCCTAAGGCACTGCAGGCGGGCCCCTGCCAGCTGAGCTCTGAGTCCCCTCTATCAGAGGAGGCTGACTTCTTGTGCCACTTGGAGCTGTCACAGCTGCAGTGAAGCTTAAAGTGGGGGCAGGAGGGCAGGGAAGAGAGAGAGAATGAAACAGGAGAGGCTAGCACAGGCTGGAATGATATCAGCAGCCCTGTCAGGCAAGCCTTGGGAACCTGCGAGTGTTGCCTGGGTGCCCAAGGGTCTGCACATTTGAAAGCGTGTGGCCTCCAGCGTTCCCAGAGGAGACCTGGGAGAAGTCAGTTCCTAGAGAGCTCCCAGGAAAAGTACCTATCCTTCACCCTGAGCTCACTTAGAGGGTATTTCCCTCAGAGAGCACAAAGGTACTTGTTCCCTGGCAAGCCCTTTGTCATTATCGACATACTTGCCTCTGTTACATCCCAATATTAGGATCCTTGCCTTGTGCTAGGGGTGCGAGAACCCTCTGGCAGGTCCTGGAAAGGGACATGGTGGGATTTTGTGGCTGGGGTCCCCCAGTGCTGGGCCTATGATTTTGTACATTCTTTGCCCTGTTGGGCATCATTCCTGGCGTCATCCTGGAGCTTTCCCGAGTCAAGTTGGCTTGCCTTTCTGACACTCACTCCTTCCTCAGTGTTAGCTACCCAAGCACTGTGTGGATCTGGAACCTAGGGAAGCAAGAGAAAGAAGGACTTGTAGGGGAATGGATGGGGGCAGCCTGCAGCAGAGGGCCTCTTCTAGCCCGCCTAACCTATGCACAATCCTGTTCTCTGGGAGGCAATGTTTAACCCAAAGCAAAGGGACAGCTGGGTCCTCCAATTTCATCCAAGCTCTTCTTAGATCCATTCAAAAGGAGGCCACATGGACATCTTGTCCCAGGAACAATAAGTTCCCAAAGAAATTGCTACCATCCCCTCCAGTGAAAATAATCAGCATTCTTCATATCACCCTAAAATCTCAAAAATTCAAAGGCTGAGGAAATGTGATTCTTCTGAAAAAGTGATCCTTTCTGGTTAACAGGAAACTGTTTCTGTCTTAGCCAATGATGCTGAAAATCCCTGTCTCACGGACCAGTGCCTGGGCCTACTGCTGGCCTGCAGGGCACTGTGAATGCAGACTGCAGAGGCTACAGACAGACAGCACACACGCCGTGGAGTCAGTCCACAGCCAGGCCTGCTTGCTGGGTGCTGGCATCGTGCTTCTGTTTGGTTTTAACCAGATCCTTCATGGAAGATCATTTTGTTGTAGTCTGTCTTTTCCCTAAAACTAAAGCACAGACAGGCTATTGGAGGGCTCCTGTTAACTGGGCCCCACTTGGGGCCATTCACTTCCAGCCAGGGCCTGACCACTCTCGGACTCTGGGATGACTTTAACATTCATTTGGCAGTGGCATGTCCATTTGGCTCCCCGTGAAGTCAGAGGGATTTTGGTTATTTCTGTAGTGTGCAATTGCCAGGCTCATTTCTTTCTTTCTGTTTCTTTTTTTAGGCTTATTAAGGAGTCTTTATTAACCAAGCTTGATGATAAGGGCCCACTAGACATAGCAAATCACAAATCCATATGGCAATCCAGTCCATTGAAATCCCAAGAGGAACAAATGGTCATTGCCTTTTAGTCCATCTGTTAAGCTGAAGACCTGTGTCCCAGCCTCCCCAAAACTATTCTTAAGAGACACACAATTAACAACCTGGACATACTTACAAAGCTGCAGACAGTCACCTTTCCCTGGCTTCTCTGCCCACATTCCACTACCAGTAGGCCTTACCTCATAGTATACACATTAGAAATACAAAGCATCTTAGCGTTGCTATCTTTACTGTCCTGTCCAAGCAGTGAACAGAGGGTGAGGAATACAAACCTACAGGGGCCATGCTCAGGGAATATCTGTCCTCACAGTCTGTCTGTGGGAAGCCAGAGAGTAAGCAGGCACTGGGAAGGCCAGGAGTTGAGAGTGCCAGAGGCACATGAGCACCAGGCTTATTTCTAAGAACCATCCATTGGGTCGGAGCTGTTTTCAGGTCTGGAGTCACTTATGTTATCACAATTATGATATGTCTCTTTTCCTAGGTGGGCTGAAGCCAATAAGGCTCACTGGAGCCACCACCATATAAGATAGCTTAGATAAGGAACAGATTGTTCTGGTGGGCCTGCATCCGCTGGATCTATGGCCTGGGTGAGAGCACTAAATGGGTGTGACTGTAAGACTTCTCCGTGTGCAAGAGTCCCCTCGGGAGAAAGTGTGTGGCCAGTCAGGTTTCTTCTGGCCCACGCTCCAGCTTGGATGGGTTACCCCAAGAAAGCCCTGGGGAAGATGGAACCGTCCTCCTGCAGCAGAGGGATGAGTGGCCAAAGTGCCAGGGCCACAGGAGTATGAGAAGCCTGATGGAAATATTCCCTACCAGGCAGCTGAACGGGTGCAGGAACTGAAAAGTTAAGCATAAACCTACTTACAGGTACCATGTAAATGTTAACTATCATTATTATTAGCTCATTGTATTCATAGAAAAACATTCCCAAGATCATTATTTTTAAAAACTCAAGGCATGGTATTATCATGACAACCTCATGACATATTTCATTTTTTTTTTTAAGTCTATGTGCTTCTAGAACTTGGCAACGGGTGGGTGATATGATGCACTGAGTAGCAGGAAAGGGCTGAAGAGAAAAGGGGCAGGGAACAAAAAAAAGGGGAGGACTGATTATTCTAGAGTTCATTTCCTCAAGGTATTGCAACAGTAGTTTCTCACCATGCTAGCTCAGGAAATCTTCCTTTTCTGACTGGTTGCTGCAAATCTCTGGGTCTGAAGTAAACTTTCTGTTTGATGATGTGGCACTTGGCATCAGTGACACCACCCTGGGTTGATCTGGTCTGTCGAGGTTTGCTAATTGTGAACATTTGCCCCCTGAACCAGACCACCAAAAGTCCAAGGGACCCCAAATCCCACATGCTCTCAGCAGACTGAGATTTATGCAAACTTCCTGCTGAGATTGGGGCTGCCTTGCTGGCTAAGCATGCCTGGAGAGGTGTGAGGTGTCTTCACTATTATTTCTTCAGCAATTGTAGCTTGAACATATCTGAGTATAAAGAAAATTCTGTTAGATTGCTTTTCTAGTTACATCTGTTTGTTAACCAGTATTGGATCCTGTAACTCATGTTTACTTATCCTGTTGCCTGAGACCTGGTGATTGTTCCCCTAATCCCTTTTGATCTATCATTGGAGTAGCTTGTATGCTATTGTTTAGTTAACTTGTAATTATTACCAGCCTGCTTGCTTTGGAAAAAAAAAGGTATAACTTGCCCCAGAAAACTCAATAAAGTATGCTTTGGTTCACCTTGCCTTTGCATCCCCTGTGTCCCAATTTCTTCTCGGCCCGGACATCACATCTCAAGTCCTTGTCCCCACTAGAGGGATGCCCAAGGCTGGTCCTTCTGCTGGAGCTCAGTCTAAGCCCACTGGCTGCTCCTGAATCTCATTTAGCAGCAGTACGTTACCATTTATGTCAAAAAAGGAGAGATGACCAGCCCTCAGGATCTACAGGTCCCACGTCCATAGACTCACCAGCTGGGGACCAAGAGTATATATTTTTAAAAAGTGTCTGTACTAAAGAGGTTTTTCTTGTTATTATTCCCCAAGTAATATAGTATGACAATTATTTATGTAGCATTTATATTTTATTCGGTATTATAAATAATCCAGAGATCTATTAAAGTTTACAGATGGAAAGCTCTGCTTTTCAAATAAATAAAAATTAATTTTTACAGAAAAAGTTGTGTAGGTTATAAGCAATTAGGATATCACTTTGCTTGAGGGACTTGAACATCTGCCTACACTCGGATCTGCAGGAGCCCTGCAACCAGTCTCCCAGGGGTGCTGATGGACAACTGTTTAGACACACATGTATGTCCTGCAGTTTTGGAAGAGAAAATGCAATCTAGTGAGTTTGGGGCCACCACTGTGGTATACAGAAGGCTAAGTTGCCACCCGTGGTGCTGGCTTCCTTATGGGTACCACCTGCTTGAGTCCTGGCTGCTCTATTTCTGATCCAGCTTCCTGGGAAAGCAGCAGCAGATGACTCACGTGCTTGGGCCCTACCACCCACATGGGAGACCTGGATGAACCTCCTGGCTTCTGGCCTCAGCATGGCCCTACCCTGGAAGCTGTGGCCATTTGGGGTGTGAACCAGCAGACAAAAGCTCTCTCCCTTTCTTTGTGTCTCCCTCTCTGTAATTTTGCTTTTCAAATAGATCTTAAAACAAAACAAAAATGCTAACAAAGTTATTTGGGGTAATGGGGTATGTTTTGAGGGGCCTTTGTGGGGGTAGCTATTACCTCCCAGAAGATTACCAATAGTCCCAGAATGTGGGATCAGAGGACAGGTGGGCAGCCCTGATCTAGCCGACACTGCTCCATCATGCCTTCCCAGTCTAGGAAGTTGATGCTGGTGGCTGAGGCTGATGCAGGCATTTCACGGGAATACAAATTGTCCTTCCAGTCAGTGGAGAAATGCACCTCAGGGGCCAGCTCAGCTGGGCAAAGCTGCAGCACTCAGCAGTGTAAGCTGGAACTGGGGGCAGACTGAGCCAGGCCATGCTATAGCACCCATCAGCAAATGCTGAGGTGAGGCAAGCAAGCTATGCCAGACTGGGCCACAGTACTCACCAGCA